ATAGCAAGCTTATATGCAGACCCAAGCTGATATTGCATTTGGATCCCTGGGGTCAAGGTCACCATAACTAAAAATGGAAAAATGGTTTCCGGACATAAACTAGAGTTAGGAATGGAATATTCTAATCAATTTTGGGTTATAACATCTTATATGAAGACCCCGGTGGTATTTTATTTCGACCCCCTAGGGTTGAGGTCAAGGTCACCCCTACTAAATAAAGAAAAATGGTTTTCAGACAATAACTAGAGTTAGGAATGAGATAGTGTAATCAAACTTGATGTATAATAAGCAGCTTATATGAAGACCACTGTTAATGTTTCAATTAATTGAAATAATTTTTTGTACACAGTTGATACTTCTTTTACTATTGGTTGAGTTCAAATATTTTTTTCAGACCACTTAATTTTCAAAAATTCAAAGTTGCTGATGGGGGTGTTTACTCATCTTCAGTGATGGTTCCAGTTTATCTTTATCATAGCCTAAGAACATGCCAAGTTTTAAGAAATTCTATTGAACAGTTATGATTTTGCCTATACATGTATAAAACTTCCCCTTGAAATCAATGGCCTATCCTTAGGCTACATGGCTAAAGTGATACATATTTAATATGGCATTGCCTAAGTTATGAAAATCATGAACATGGGTCAAATAGAGCCATACCTTAGTATCATGTTTATAACTTTTTCTTTAAATAGGAATGTGACTTGACTGAGGACCTATAAATTATGCCTCTATAATGTTAAACCTTCTAGAAATGGTCACTTAACAAAACAGTCTCTTAAGACATGGCATGATAAAAAAGGAAAATTTTATGCGTCATCTTTCCTCCCCGGTGGGGAAGTTTTTTCAACTTAATTTATATAAATGTTTAATAATTATAACACTGTGATCATCTCATTAGATGTTCAAATAAAAAAAATAACTTTCTGATATTTATTGACAAAACAGCTTTGATCCATTACCTACATGTTTTTCATTTTCAAATTTTCAAGCTACTGTACTACGTTGCTTTTCCTTGTTCTCGACACGTAAAATCTAATTTGTGTAAATGTTTTCTGTGGTGATTTTCAATTCAAAGAAACAAACTACATGTTACTGTAGCTATTAATTTGATTGCTGATTATAAAAGTTCAAGGTCATTTCAATGCAGTTAAAAAATCAACAGTGAAGTGTATACACCATCTCAGTAAGGACAGGGTGTTGCATTGTTCTATCGATTATATTAGATAATACATGTAACACCTATAATTAACTTCATTTGCATACGCTAAAAACTGTTTGGGAGATACAGTTCTTCACACAATTATATATTTTGTTATGATTGTTGACACTTGTGAAATCACGAGGAGTCTTTCACTTGATATGTAGGAGCACTTTTAGAATATGTCTGCAGTAAAATCCGTGTTTTACAATTTAAAAGGTCGTTTAATATCAAGTAGCTGACTAATTAGCTGTTGCCGATCGCATTAAAAGTCGCTTTAAAATACATTAAAGATATATAGGAAATGATCGGGGGGATTAGGGTTTGGGGGATTTACAGTGAGCGCATATAACAAATTTTGCTTCTTAATACACGTGGTAGCATGGGCAAGTTTAAAGACTTCATTTTGGCTGATCAAGCTCAATTGCAAGTTTTCATAACTTTAATGGTTCAAATGCAGCAACTAAAGACCTGACTGCAAATAAATAAAAAATAAAAAAGGGGTGTATCAATGGGGTAAAGGTAGCATAAATAAGTATGGACTATAGACTGTTTTGTTTTGGTACACCTATCACAATGTGACATGGTGAGCTTTTGTTTTTGCCTTTTGTCCGGCATCCGCCGTAAACTTTTACTTTAAACAACATCTCATAAACTGCTAAGCCAATTTTTTTTATAGTCCTTCAATTCCAATATCTTGGAGAACCTTTCAATACTCATTTGAAAAGTAATGTATGATTGCACCCAAAAATGTCGAAATTAGGCATTCTCTGTAGAGAATTGTCCCATTTCAATGAAATTGATTTTCATTGAATAGATAATTTTAGCTCACCTGTCGCAAAGTGACATGGTGAGCTTTTGTGATCGCTTTTCGTCTGTCCGTCGTCAACTTTTACTTTAAAAGAAGTCTCCTCATAAACCGCTAAGCCAATTTCATTCAAACTTCACAGGAATGTTCCTTTGGTAGTCAACTTTAAAAATTGTTAAAAGAATTACATTCTAAGCAGAACTCTGGTTGCCATGGCAACCAAAAGAAAAAAAACTTAAAATATCTTCTTTTAGAAAATCGAAAGAGTAGAGCTTAAATATTTGGCATGAAACATCATCCAGGCAGTGTCTACCAAGTTTCTTCAAATAAATGCCCTGGGGTCAAAATTGGTCCCGCCCTTGCGGGGTCATTGTTTATCCTTACTTGTATATAGTAAAAACTTAAAAAATCTACTTTTAAAAAGCCCAAATAGCTAGAGCTTAGATATCAAGCATGAAACATCTTCCAGTGGGTGTCTACAGAGTTTGTTCAAATAAGGGTCCTGGGGTCAAAATTGGCCCCTCCCCGGGGATCATTGGTTTTCCTTATATTTTTATAGTAAAAACTTAAAAAAAAATCTTTTAAAACACCCTTAGAGCTAGAGCTAAGATATTTATCATGAAACATCTTCTAATGGGTGTCTACCATTTTTGTTCAAATTAAGGCCCTGGGGTTAAAATTGGCCCGCCATAGGGATTATTGATTTTTCCTTATATGTATATAGTACAAACTTTAAAAAAAATCTTTTAAAAAACCCAAAGAGCTAGAGCTAGATATCAAGTATGAACTATCTTCTAGTGAGTGACTACCAAGTTTGTTCAAATAAAAGCCCTGGGGACAAAGTTGGCCCCGCCCAGAGGGGGGATGGGGTAAAATTTGTTCTTCCTTATATGTTGATAGTATAAACTTAAACTTTTCCCTTATATAAGCGTGTTTCGACGGCTTTTTGCCCCCCCCCCTTTTTGAGGCCTCAAACAGTGAAAAAATGCCCTATTTAGGCCCCAAAACACTGTTGTTCGTTTGAGAAATGTTGATAAAAAAGTGACCACTTTTTCGGCGCCGTCCCGCATCCAAATATTACATCAGGAGGTTGCCAGAAGGGGGGTGTGCCCCCTTCTGTTTGGGGGTTTGAAGGGGGCGGAGTCCCTGTCATCGCCAAGAAAATGTTGGACATGTGACAGGCTGAATGGCCACAGGTCGATCTTAGGGTAACTAGTAACCGACGCTGAAAAGCCTTTTACTCTATCTCAATTCATTGAGAAGTTGCAGCACTTTGAAATCACTTTTGATGGAAAAAAACAATGCAAAGTAGTGATTTTTGGCAAATTTGAGATGTCCCCCCTTTGCCATGGTAACAGACCTGGGATAATCATTAACTGTAATCATTGACTTTGTAATTGATTACACGATTACACTGTAATCATCATGTAATTGATTACCTTGTCCAAAAATGATTACATTTAATGTAATTAATCAATTACAGCTTAAATTCAGTCAGTAATTATGATTACATTTTGATTGACATTGATTACTTTCAGATTTAAAAGGAAACTATTTAAGTTCAAAGGATGCCTTTATTTTACATTATACAGTTTAACTTTTGTTTTTTAGTTATACAGTAAAAATCCTCAATTAGACTGATAAAAATGAACATTCTTTTCATTGCTTAAATACTTTGAGACCATGGTCTACTTTAGTCATTTTGTATGAATATACAATATGTTTATTTATATGTATCTACAAATACATTGTAAAAGAATGCTTTGATATTTAATCTGATAAAAGGAAAACATATTTCTGGAGAAATTTAACGTTAATTTTACAGTATCACTTATTATATGATGTACATAAATCAAATGAAAATTTAAATTTTCAACAAATAAATGTGCTGAAAGCAACAATGTACCACTTTAAAATTGACCTTCTCACCTAATTTCATACAATAACCCAATTACAGTTTTTCACACCTTGTGAAATCAAGTTTCATGCTAAAGAGCATTCAAGCAGATCATAACAACAAATTTAAGATCTAGATAGGTGTTCACTTCAATAATATATCAGTGGTCTCAATAATCACATTAAAATTAAAACAAAAATTTGGACTGACTAATAATAGTGGTCTTAAAAGTGAATAAGCAGGTGGTTAATTCTGGATCATGAAACCATCTTTTAAAAAAAAAAGGTCTTAATAGCAGGGTGGTCTTAATTCTGAGGTGGTTTAATGTACATTCAATGTAATCAATTATCAATCAATTACTCTCTTAAAAGTAATTGTAATTCAATTGATTACAGAGGCAAATGTGAGTAATCAATCTTAATCAATTACAATAAAATCTGAAAGTAATTGTAATTTAATCAATTACTGATCAATGTAATCATCCCCAGGTCTGCATGGTAACAGGAAATTTACCATTGAGCATGCTGTTACAGAGGCTATGGTGTAGTCAACATTTGTGCCATGTTTAATTAGTATTGAAGCATTTTTCATAGTTTCATAGCAGTTTGAACTTGTTACAGGAGGCTTTTCAATGAAAACGGCCATTTTTCGCAATATGCTCATGGGGTAAAAGGTTAAAAATCTTCTTTCAGCTAGAGCTTAGATATTTATCATGAAACATCTTCAAATGGGTGTCTACCAAGTTTGTCCAAATAAAAGCCCCTCGGTTAAAATTTACCCGCCCCGGAGGCCTTTATAAAGGTGAGCGATTTCAGGGCCATAATGGCCCTCTTGTTTAGATATATTTGGACACTGTTTGCTAATGAAAGTGAATACTATTTTCTTCAATTTCAATATTAAAATGACAATATTACTGTATACAATAGATACTTTTGAAAATTACTAAACAAAACACAATTATTTGTATTATTATTTATGTTGTAGGAGATAAAAAGACGCAAGGTAGAAGATTCTCCTCAACAAAAACAGTTTCAATATGAAAAGGCGAAATCAGGTATGTTATATCGAATATGAAAAGGCGAAATCAGGTATGTAATATAGAATATCAGGTATGCTATAAATAATAAGAAAAACACTAAATCAGGCATGTTATATAGAATATGAATAGGTTAGAAGGAATGTTAATATATAAAATATGAAAAAGGCTAAATCAGGTATGTTGTATAGAGTAAGAAAAGGCTGAATCGTGTATGGTATATTAAATATGTGAAAGCTAAATCAGGTACGTTATATAGAATATGAAAAGGTTAAATCAGGTATGTTATATAGAATATGAAAAAGGTGAAATCAGGTATGTTCTATACAATCTGAAAAGGCTAAATCAGGTACGTTGTATATAATATAAAAAGACTAAATCTTGTATGTTATATAGAGTATGTGAAGGCTTAATTAGGTATGTGATTTAAATATGAAAAGGCTAAATCAGGTACTAGTAAGTTATATAGGATGTATGTTACATAGAATATGAAAAGGTAATATCGGGTATGTTATATAGAATATGAAAGGGTTATATCGGGTATGTTATATAGAATATGTAAAGGCTAAATCAGGTATGTGATTTTAATATGAAAAGGCTAAATAAGGTATGTTATATAGGATATGAAAAGGCCAAATCAGGTATGTACGAGGGTTGTCCAAAAAATTCGTGCACTGCAGTTATTGTCTTGAGAGTTATTGATAAAAACCCATGAATTATATATCATTAGAAGGGGAAATCTATCTCAAATAAGAAAACAATAGAAAAAGCCATGTAACCGGCGTGTCGTGAAAACGAATCATCATACCGTAACCTTAGTAACGTAATACCGGCGCACGTCAAAAAATTGGGTAAGTTGATTACTTTGATGCATCACAGTATCCTTTAAACAATACATATAAACGTCAAAATTCGGGAAAAAGTGCGTAAACGTATGCATGACGTCACTACAAAATATGACGTGATTTGCCCTATTGTAATGGTCGTAAACAAACATTTCCGTGTGGTCGTCAATACTGTCATAACAAGAAAATGTCAGTCGCTAAACGTCAGGAAATACGGACGATCATTAAATTCTGCGCAAGTACTGGTAAAACACAAACAAATACCTACAAAGAACTGAAAAGGGCAAAAGGGACCAGTTCAGTGTCACGGAGGCTGGTTTTTAAATGGCACAAACGCTTTGTCGAGGGGCGAGAGGCGGTAGACGATGACAACCGATCAGGCAGACGTCCGTCCGTTATGCAGGCGCATCTGACGTCAATTAAGGACGCTATTGCCAGGGACAGACGTTACACCGTAAGAGAGTTATCAGACATAACTGGTGTCAGTAAATCATCTGTTCACAACATATTGCACAAAGAACTGAATATGTCAAAGGTAAGTTTTCTAGTTTAAAATTTTTTAAACATAAATTATGTATCTTAAGAATAAAAAAAATATTACTTGAATCCGTAAGATTAAGAGTTGATAAATTGATAGTAGCGCCTCGTTATTTTTGTAATCATTTTTTTAATCAATAAATCTATTAAATGGCGGCGTAATTTTATATAACAAAGACCAGTGTTCTTAATTTAGTTGCTACACAACTGATATTCTTTCCTGTTATTATATTTATCTAATAATATATTATTTAGGTCCATGCGCGATGGATACCACATGTGTTGAAATCGTATGAGAAGGAGCGAAGAGTTCAAGAGTCCACCAAGTTTGTACAGATGTTTGGACGGCTTGGTGAAGATTTCCTCAGCTCTATCGTCACTACAGACGAAACGTGGATGTATCTTTACGACCCCGAGACTAAGGGACAGTCAGCGGTGTGGCGGGAACTGGGCACGCCTCCGCCGCAAAAGGCGCGCGTTTCCAGATCAGCTGGGAAGCAGATGTACATAATGTTTGCTGACATGCGCGGGATGATTCTATGCCATGCCATACCACCACATACAACAGTGAATGCTGAATATTATTCAAAGGTATATAGATAATTATCCTTTACGATATTTATATACTCCGATAAAGACATATTGTATTACTAAAAAATAAGACGTAATGATTCTTTTAAATTGGGAAATCATATACTTAATTTATACACTTCGCACAATTGAAAATAAAAAGAAAAAAATAATTTAAGTACATCCTTAAAAAATTAAATTTTACAGAATATTAATTTTTGTACATGTACAATTAACGCTTAACCTAGGTATTGCGTATATTCGCAGGTGCTACGCCGCGATTTGATGCACGCGCTAGCCAAGAAGAGACGGGGTTTGAGCGTTGAAAGTATTCGTCTGCACCAGGACAACGCGTCTCCACATACAGCAGCTTTAACCCAGTCGGAGATAGATGTTCTGGGATTCAAGCGGCTCAGTCATCCTGCCTACTCGCCCGATTTGGCGCCCTTTGATTTTTCACTTTTTCCCCACATCAAAGGACAGCTGAAGGGACGGAAGTTCGAAACACTTCATGATCTTCAAAATGCAGTGTTCGGAATCATTCGTACAATTCCAAGTGACTTTTACAGGGACACGTTTCTGAAGTGGGTTGACCGCCACAGGCGATGCATCGAATGTAATGGGGAATACTTTGAAAAGTTGTGAAAAGTTGCGAAAACGTGTATGATGCTGTAAAATTATGACTGTGACGTTGACGTCATGCGTTTACCGTGCGCCGCTACAGCTGTGATTGTATTATTTTCTTGTTGCTTGTAAAGCGGCATTTGCTATTTATGTCATAATTTGTTTTACTGTCGATAGAAAATTGATTGAAGTTAAGCATTTTGTAGTTTTTATTGTTCTTATGAAACCTTCATGTAATATATTCCACCAGTGCACGAACTTTTTGGACAACCCTCGTAATATAGAATGTAAAAAGGTTATATCGGAATGTTATATAGAATATGTAAAGGCTAAATCAGGAAGGCTAAATCAGGTATGTGATTTAAATATAAAGAGACTTAATAAGATATTTTGTATAGAATAAGAAAAGGCTAAATCAGGCATAAAATATAATCTATGAAAAGGCTAAATCATGTATGATATATATAGAATATGAAAAGGGATAAATCAGGTTATTGTTTAGAATTCTTATGATTGTTGTCATTAACTAGCTTCAGTCTGTTTAATATTTGCTGACTTACTGATAATGAGGCCCTCAGTGAAGTGTTCTATTTCTTTTATATATTTCTGTATTATTTACGCATTAATTTGTCCTTAACAATCATTTGATGTCATACTATCATTCAAATTACAGAATGGCGGGAAAAGCTGATTAAAAAGTATCACAAAACCCTGCTGAAAGTTCCTGCAACACCTTTACAACCAAAAAGTGAAAAATGTAGCTTTAATGAGATTTATATTAGACCCAAAATAACGCGGGAAATAAGAGGAGAAAATGGGGAGACAAACGAGGTGGAGGTTAAAACAATATCAGAAATCTTAACAAAGGACGGAGTCCCCCATAAATCGGTATATGTTCTAGGAGATGCAGGGTCAGGAAAAACTAGCTTTTGTAAATATCTGGTCAACTGTTGGTGTTTGGCACACGGTGAGGAACATGAAGCTGGCAATGAAAATGAAGATGACAATGGTGAACCTGAAGGCGACAATGAAAAACATGGAGGTGACAGTGAAAAACATGAAGGTGGCAACGAAAAACATGAGGTGACGGGTAAACCTGAAGGTGACAGTGAAAAACATGGAGGTGACGGTGAAAAATATGGAGGTGTCAATGAAAATGAAAGTGGCAATGAGGAACAAGGAGGCGATAATGAAGGAAATAAAACACATGGAGCTGGAGGTGTCAATGAAATTGGTTTTGAAGAACATGCAAAAAGGGGAAGTGACATTGTAAATGAAGAGGTAAAGGGGACACATAGTAGAGACATTGAAAACGAAGAGAGCAGTAAGACACATCAAGGTGTTAATGAGAAACGAGGAGATGAAAAACATGTGGGTGGCATAAAGAAAAATGGAAGTGACAGTGATGACATTCAGGATAACAATTTAATACATTCCGAATCCCACAATGAGGACTCTGATGATATCTTAAATGACTCCGAATCCGATAGTGACGACTCTTATACTGACTTAACAGACTCTGCATCCGACAGTGATGACTCTAAATATGATAGCAAAAATTATGAACTGAAATTCAATGGTGTAAAAGAGATGAAGAAATTTGATTTTGTATTTTACATCCCTCTTAGACAGTATCGAAATATTGACACTATAGATGAAATGCTTCATAAACGTTATCAAATGAAAATGTTAAATACACTTCTTGAAAAAGAAGCCTCTAGAGTTATGATTTTGCTTGATGGCTTAGATGAATGGTCCTCTGAAAATGTCCCAGAACATAGTATCTTTAAGGAGTATACAATAGTAACTACTTCGCGGCCATGGAAATTTCATACATTAAGATCAAATGATATGGAGATTGACCAGTCATTAAAACTGAAAGGTTTTGATTTTAGATGTGAATTGAAAATGGTCAATAGGACAGTCTCACAATTAAATGTAAATAGACATGCCAATAAAGAAGCTAGAGACTGTAGGTAAAAGCTCAAGGAAAAGTCTCTGAAAAGTTTAAAACAGGTACCAATTATGCTACAACAACTGATATGTCTATGGTTTGATGGTAAACTTGATAAAACATCAAGATGTGCCATCTACACCGGTATGTTAGAATTATTCTTCACATGGAATGACATGAAAACTACAGGAACAAGTACTCGACTCATGAAGGGGACCCAGAAAGGAGATCTTCCTAAATATTTAGCCGATAAAACCAAATTAAAATTAAACCGCCATTTCATTTATGAAATATCACGGTTGGCTTATGAGACACTATTTAATTGTCCGAAGGATAAATCCTTGACATTTGACATTTGTATGTTTGATGAACTTGAAATATCAGATGAAGTAAGAGAAAATTGCTTGAAACTTGGAATAATTACAGAAGATGAATGTCCAAGTTTATCTGTATCAGAACCACCAAGCTCATTGTTCTCTTTTATTCACAAATCAATGCAAGAATTTCTGGCTGCAGTGAATATTGGCATCAATTTCAATGCAAAAATGTGTTCATCAGATAGTACAGGAAATGTCGAATTAGCCAAGAAGTTTATTAAGGAGGTTTTTCAGAAATGTTCAACAGTCAATGACATATCAGAGCAGTCAAATGTCATCATTATGCTATGTGGTCTAGAACCAAGATTAGCAACACATGTTTCAAAATACATATATGATACTGTGTCAGAAGACTGTCGTGTTGAGGAATACAGGAGAACAATAAGTAGTGACATTTATAGGTATCTTAGTTTTATTACTGGTATTCAAGAGCTTATGTTTGAGTCAATGGAAGAATTCAATGCAGCATGTAGTGTAGGAAGTAATACTGTATTTTATATAGGAGATTTGGTCATTTATCATAGTGATTATTGTGATATTGTTTGTTCAAGTATTGATCAGCATCAAATTGTTCCTGATTCTGTTCTGTCTATTTATGTAGTTGACATCAACACACAAAATGTTAAATTTACAAAATATTTACCAATGTTTCATCATCTTGAAAAAATTGTAATAAGATATAAATATGAATTACCAAGTGATACACAGAGTAATGAACAGAGGATTGATGAGATAAACAATTGTGTTTCTGAGACAATTAAAGTAAACACTTTAACATTAAAATCTCTGACTCTTGATGATGTCTCTAACACTGACAAGTATTACCCAGTATATAAAACAGTTGTTAGATACCTACCTAGTATGATCAATCTTGTAGCAATAAGTATGACTAGTATAACAGTGAGTCATGATGATACTACTACATTTTGTAATTTTCTTGAGAGAACCAGTCATCTTGAACAAATACATCTTTTTTATTTTAAATGTGAGTGTAAGAAGCAACATGATGTAAATTTATCAAAACATCAACAACTTCAGTACCTTTGTTTGTATGGTGTTGTTAGTGTGATAGATGCTGATACTACAAACCTTGAAACATTTACATTTAGTAACTTGAAAGATAGTAATTGTGTGAAAATATTTGATATTATTAGAAAATCTTACAAATTAAAAGAACTTAAATTGTGTGGAGATTATTACAATGAATCTCAAATGTATCATACCAACATACCAAAGAGACTTGTCACAGTATTACACAATCTCAGTAAGCTTGAGTTAAAGTATTGTAGGTTAACTGACAATATAATACAGTTACCTTTAGAGACGAAGAGTTTAAAGAACATTGAGCTTGATTCTGTCATAATGAGTTTGACAACATGGCAGAAGTTTGTTGATAGTCTTCCTGGTATTCCTCATACTGTAGATGTGAGAGTAGGGAACTATTATATAACAGGAGATGGTGAGGAGGTTAATGATGATATGATAACATTGAGATCACTAAGAGGAGGGAAGGGAAATGATGCTATACAGTATGTAAAAGACCAGGATCAGTTATTTCATGTTAAACAGGATGAATTGTTATGGTTTTACTTTTCAAGAAAAAAGTGATAAAGTATCCATTTAGTTTCATAGTGTTTGAACTATTTTTTTTCAATATTAACAATAAAAATAATGGTTTGAATCTTTAACACAGTGAAATAAGATACATGACGTTAACATAGTGATTAAACTAAATTATTGCATGTTAAAAGAGATAATTTTTTTGTTCATTTTTGACTAAAAAGAAATGATCTGAAAATTTAACATAGTGAAATAGGATACATGACGTTAACACAGTGCTTAATCTAAATTATTTTATGATAAAAGAGATGTAAAAATAGACTTTTCATTATCAGTAAAAAATAGTAATAATACTAAATTTACATATTGATAAGTTAAATAATGAATGTTATACAATATGATAAATAACAATCATCAAAAACAGTTCATTAAATATAAATTTCTGAACATTGTAGTAATATTGAAATTGATGAAAGTAATATTCAAATGTGTATTCAAATAAATAATTGAAAGATATGCAGTGAAATATAAAGAAAATATAGGTAACTGTTTTTTTTTAAAGATCAGGGATAGTTTGTGAAAAGTATAATTTGAAAAAGTAATAGGTTGTTTGAATTATAAATACATAAATAGATAAATAGATTAGCAAGTAAATAAATTAATGAATAAGTAAATATAATAAGCAATTTGAATGGAAAAATTTAATGTACAAGGTCAGAAAAAGTAAAAGATAAATTTATATAACATTCAAATACCAGTTATATTATATAATATATGATATGTCAAGAAAATGGTATATGTAATTACCAGTTATATGAGAAATATGTCAAGAGAATGGTATATATCAATACCAGATATATGATATATAGATCATGGGAAAAGTATATTTTATTACCTATGATATGATATATAGGATTATATGCTATAGAGGAATGGTAAATTTTATATGTGAATACCTGTTAGATGATATATAGGTCAAGTAAATGATATACATATTTGTCTTTCATTGAGATGAGGACCATTTACTTGTTATAATTTAGTGATTCCTTTTATGATTTTTTTTATATTGTAAAGATTGATAAAAGTGAGAAAAATTGTAATTATAAAAATCGATAAATATTAACTTTATTTTCTTGACTTTTTTACATGATGTGACAAGAGTTATGTTCTTAAGGTTCCGTACTATTTGTCAATAACTTGTGTGCGAAATTTAAGATCATTAGCACTCGCTTTTTTCCAAAATACTAGTAACCATTTTAGCTCGACTATTAAAAGAAAAGCGAGAACAAAATCATTTACCCAGAATAGCTAGAGCTATATAGTACTTAATCAAGTGTTGTATTGGTGTTAAACTTATGCTATGTTTATGCCTACAAGTTGGTATCTAAAGAACTACTGAAGAATAATTGACATTCTTGTTCTCTTTGATTATCTTACATGATTAACTAAAGTCCCATAACTCTGATTTTTTTTCATATTAAAGCCCCATTTTGGACTTAGAAATTATTGGTTAATTTTTGCATGTAAGCTGTTTCTTCATAACTATTGAGGGGTGGATTAGAACTTCACACATATATGAGTGTGATAGAAAGTCACTGTCTGAGGATCATGGATGATAACTCAAATACTTGACAGAATCATTACCCTTTTTGAAGTTAGAAAATTCTGCAATATCCATCACTGTGGATAGTCGAGCACACTGTACTGTCAACAGCTCCTGTTAGTCAAAATGATATAAAATGTTTTTAAATGTTGATAGCTTAAGTCCGTACTTAA